TTTGCATTCATCATAGATACTTTTGCCCAAACATTTTTTCAAAATATTGCTGACTGTTGATGATATTTTGCTTTTAAGGGTTTTTTAAAAAAACTTTAGCACTACATTAAATTTTTGCACGAATGCCCAACTCAGTTTCACCTTAGTCCCAAGCTCTAGTCCTGGCAATCAAATTCCCTTAACCCCCAATCAAACAGAGCCTCAATGTACCTCTCACGCCATCGTGTTACATCTACAGAACCTCCCAGCCTCCAACGATCACTACCTAAAGTCACACTGATCACCGCGATTTTATATTCTGTTTAATGTTCACAAACAATAGCTGCCTAAACAGTTTCCCCTGAAACAGTGGACATTTTAAAAAGAGGGATGTGTGGGATTAAACCATATTGGAGACAGGAAAGAGAAAAGAAGAAAATGCCTAGCTTTGAAAACAGTGCCTTTTCACATTTCTTTCACAATACTGATGCTAAGCAGGGGGAACAAAAAGGCCGGGTGCAAAAAAACCTGAGGAGCACACCTGTAGACCACACCAAATTAGCTTCGTGTAGCTTGAGCAGCCAGCAAAACATGGCTTCAGGGGTCCCTAGAGACGTTTCCTCCAACAGAAGAGGGAATGGGGTTAGAGCTGAATTTAGGCAGAGATTAAGAGGTTCTGGGGAAATTTTAAGAAAGTGGTAGTGTGTCCTGAATTCATATTTTCAGGGCACTTAGGCAGTACAATAATTGGCAATCTTGTGTTTGGGAGCTGGGGAGAGCGACTGGGAATGGTTTAAACCTCAGTCCCCAACCCCGAATGACGCACCTCTCCAAACAAGGCCATATCTCCAAATCTTTCCCAAACAGTTCCGCTAATTGGGACCAAGTATTCAAACATAGGAACCTATGGCAGCCATTCTCATTCAAACCCCCACAAGATAATAAAATAATAAAAAGAAATTCTAAAAATCATAGAAAGAGAAAATATAAAAGCAGCTGCTAAGGGCCAGGGAAAGGACAAGGAGAAATTGGTGTAGAGTTGCCATTTGTGAAACGGAAATGCTCTGAAAATCACTTGCACAGCAATGAGAATGCACTTTACACTACTGAACTGTGCAGTAAAAAATGGTTAATTAAGACAGGGCCATCAAGGGGGCTCAGGTGAGCTGGTCCTGTGGTCGTGAGAGCCGAAGAGTGGCCTGCCCCTCCCTCGTACGCCATGTGGTGGCGTGGATGAGGGGAAATATGCCCCCCCCCCCCCACTCCTTGCCACCTGTGGCAGGGGTCGGGGGAGCCAGCCTGGGGGCGTGAAAACCAAAGAGCTGTCCTTGTCTCTCATCAAGTACAGCAATCAGGAGAGCAGACCCTGCACCTGCCTGGACAAAACAGTAGAGCTGGCCCTGGTGGTGTGAGTGTGGGTGACCCAGATCTAAAAGCCTGAGAGTAGAACTGACCCCTCTTCTTGCTGCCTGCTGCATTGGGTGAGCTAGCCAGGGCAGTGCTGGAGAGCTCTCCCTGGCGGAGACAATGAGGGAAAGCTGGCGGGCTGACCAACCCAGTGAGTTAGCCCACCCCAACATCCACCTCATCTATAAACTGCTGGAGCATGTGAAGGGGCCAGACCTGCAGATCCAAAGATGTGGGATCTCCATGACACAGGACAACAAACAACAGGATACCCAAGAGGATCCCCAGGGAGAACCCAGTATAGATGGTTTAACAGAAACCAGAGGCCTCAAGCCAGACCAATGACTCATAGCAATGAACACTTGCAAGTAAAGATATGTGGACTAAAGGGTAAACTGTGTGACTCACTGGGCCACAGTACAGCTTCCATATGGGATTTGTTTGCTTGTTTTGGTGTTTTGGGTTTTACTTTTAAATTTTGTTTTGTTGAAGGGGAGGTTGCAAGAGCAGAGGGCAGAAGTGAGGGGACAGGGAGATGAGTGGGATAGGATGCATGATATGAAATCCATAAAAAAATCAATAGAATGTTTTAAAAAAAGATGGGGCCATCAAGATGCCACACAAGCCTAATGATGCCCTGAGTTCAACCCTCAGAATCCATATAAAGATGGAAGGAGAGAGCTGGTTCCACAAAGTTGTTCCTTGACCTCTACATGCATGTCATAGCGCACACACACACACACACACACACACACACACACACACACACAAAGTAATTTTTAAATCCCTGTTTGTTTGCTATGCCTGGCTCTTGGGTATTTGGGGGTGGGGGGTGTTCAAGACAGGGTTTCCTTCTGTAGCCCTGGCTGCCCTAGATCTCACTCTGTAGACCAGGCTGGCCTCGAACTCACAGAGATCTGCCTGCCCCTGCCTCCTGAGGGCTGGGATTAAAGGCGTGCATATGCCACCTGCCCAGCACTTGGGTAGTTTTTTTCAGTGGTCAAGATAGAAAATGAAAAAGAAGTGACAGCAGCTTTATCCGTGTGCTGTTGAGCAGTCTGCACACCCTTTCAGGGGCTCGAGATGGGCGGTGTGCCTTTAGCACAATCCTGGACAGAAAAGTTTAAGGGTTCAAGCGGCCATGTGAGCTGTCCCACAGCTGCCATCCTAACAGTGGGGAGGCTGGGGACAGGAAGATCAGGAGTGGCAGGCCAGCCTGGACTACATCATGAGACCCTGTCTTGAAAAAAATTAATAAAAGACCAGCCCAAACTAAAGAAGAACTCAAAGTGTAGTGGTTGAAATGGGTAATGTACATAACTAGGCAGCTTTTCTCTTGTTCTAAATTCTATTCTATTTGGGAGTAATTTTCTCCCACTTCAAGCTCCCTCATTATATACGCTTTCATTCAAAATGTTAATTCTTCTTTTTCTTGTAATTTAACCGTCCGCTAATCATTTCTGGGATGGAAACACATATTCCTAAGTGAAACTCTATTGAAGAGCTGAATTAAGCAGACAGTGTGTTTGTTTCTCTAATTTCTTGTCTAATGGTTAATAGAATTGCCAACGAAGAACTTTTTCAAAGTCTTAAAAACTATCTGTGGTAATGTTTTTGTGCAAACTAAACTTTTTTGGCCAGACAGAGATTTAAATCCCTATAAAATAAACTGTGCTCGCAAGCATGCATGCGTGTGTGTGTGTGTGTGTGTGTGTGTGTGTGTGTGTGTGTGTGTGTGTACATGTGCGCATGTGTGTAGCCCTCAAATAGTATTTGAAAAAGAAAGACTATAATCTCTTTAAATGAAATGCAACTCTTTTTAAGTACAAAGAAAACTTGATTCCAATCTTGGGTTGTCTAATTACTGCTTGAGAGACCTTGGGCAAGCAACAGAGTGCAAGCCTGCATCTTTTCTCCAAACTTGAGCCTGTCTATGACACACATGATGGGAACTGGATCAAGAGACAAAACGAGGCTAATGGCAAGTGAGTTTTATCTGAAGAAGAGAATGGGGACACGGTAAGGTACAAAGTCAGACCACTGTCTCTGCCTGGCTTTTGCAGACATCCTGTTATGTCCCGTCCCTGCAATTCAGAGGGCTATCCAACCACTGTAATTTATGGGCTCCTTAGCAAAACAACACTGTTAATGAAGCCAGTAGTGTATGAGATCAGCTAAGATTTTCCACGGTTTGAAGAGATAAAACAGCAATCAACTCCAAATTAGATCGTATTTATACATTTAAAAGAGAAGGTCGTATGTCAACTGATTTTTTTTTCTGCATCTGATAGCATCCTTTATTACTCTCAAGAAGAAACTTTGAAGATGAGAGTGTTATAAGTCTCCTCTCCCTCCTGGAGGTCCTCATAAAATACATGCTGTCTTAGTCTATGGAATGCAATGTATTGGGTGCTAAATTAGATCCAAGACCCAATTCTCCACCCCTGTATCCATAATGTTCTCCATGTAAATGTTTAGTATTCTCTCCCTGTATGTAGTCATGCAAGGTGTGAAACCAGCTGCTGATTTATTTCGCTCAGTAAAACATGAAAATGTGTTGGAGGTAGAGAGATGGTTCAGCACTTTTTTCTCCTGCAGAGGACCTGGATTTGATCTCTAGCATCCATGAGGTACTTCATAACCATCCATAAGCCCCGTGCCAGGGGAATCGGACTCCCTCTTCTGACTACCAGAAGCAACAGGCACACAGGTGGTGCACATACCTACATACAGACAGACAGGCAAAACACTCACACACATAAAATAAAATAAATACATCTTTAAAAAATTCAAAATGAAAATGTTAGTTCCCCCATTCAAAACCAGAAAACAAGTTAACTTTATAACTTTTGTTTTTTGGTTTTTTTTTTTTTTTTTTTTTTCCGAGACAGGGTTTCTCTGCTTTGCGCCTTTCCTGGAACTCACTTGGTAGTCCAGGCTGGCCTCGAACTCACAGAGATCCGCCTGGCTCTGCCTCCCGAGTGCTGGGATTAAAGGCGTGCGCCACCACCGCCCCGGCAACTTTATAACTTTTAACTTTTGATTTTTTAATTTCCTTATGACATTCTCATACATACATAGCTTTGGTTGATTTCCCCCTCCCCACTCCTCTCCCCCATAACCCTCCCCCCTTAGTCCCCAATTGTACCTGTTGTTGGCTTTTTTTTTTACTCTTTTGGCTTGTTGTTCTTTGCTCTTTTGGGGGCCCAACACCTAGCTCCCAAATAAATCACTCATGGAGACCTACTATTACTTATAAATGTCAGGCCTTAGTTTGACTTATTTCTAGCCAGCTTTCCTTAACTTAAATTATCCTGTCTACCTTTTGCCTCTGGACTTTTCCTTTTTCTTACTTCTGTATGTTTTACTTTCACTCTTACTCCATGGCTGCCTGTGACCGTGTGGCTGGGTGGCTGGGTGGCTGGGTGGGTGGCTGGGTGGCTGGGTGGGTGGCTGGGTGGCTGGGTGGGTGACTGGCCCCTAGCGTCCTCCTCTCCTTGTTCTCTTGATCCTCCTTCTTTCCCAGATTTCTCCCTCTGTTTATTCTCTCTGCCTGCCCGCCCCGCCTATCCTTTCTCCTGCCTTGCATTGGCCGTTCAACTCTTTTTTTTTTTTTTTTTTGACGTTCCTAAATTGTTTATTGGGTATGAATTTTACAAACATTACGTGTATTAGCGGTAACGGTGGAGCTGCAGAGTATTGCGCCTTCTCCAGGCTGCACGGCGAGAGCCACCAATAGTGTGGTGGAACTTGTGGCCCTTTCCAAGGCCACGGCTCTTGCGGCCAGCAGATGTCAGCCCACGCATCTCTCTGTGCTTGTGGACTGGTTTGGTGATCCATTGGGTGTCAGGGTTTCTTCTGATAGCTTTATGGAATGGATCAATGAGGATAACCTCAAAAAATTTGTATGTGGAATCTTCGCCAACCCAGTAAGAATTCAGGACTCTCAGAGCCCCACAATGGCGTCCAGCTCTCTCCTCAGCAACAGACTGAAGGCTTCGGGCAAACTTTAGCTGGTTAACACCATGATGGACAGGCTTGCCATAAGTTGCACCCTTAGGAACTGGGCGTTTGCGGCCACCACGGCGGACACGAATCCTGTATATGACATAACCTTGCTTGGCCTTGTATCCCAGCCTTCGCGCTTTGTCAGGCCGGGTGGGGCGGGGAGCCCTGTGCAGCGCCGAGAGCTGGCGGTACTGCCAGCAGCGGACCCTCAGGAGAAAGCGCATCACATCCGACTGCTTCTTCCTCCATAGCTCCTGGATGTATTTGTATGCACCCATCTTGGCTCACCTGATGGCTGCCGCCAGAGGAAAGGAAGAAGCCTTTCTCCCACAATCCCTTTTGTGGCTCCGCCCCGGCCGTTCAACTCTTTATTAGACCATTAGGTGTTTTAGACAGGCACACTAACACAGCTTCACAGAGTTAAACAAATGCAACATAAAAGAACGCAACACATCTTTGCATCATTAAACAAATGTTCCATAGCACAAACAAATGTAACACACCTTAAAATAATATTCCACAACATGTACCCTTCTACCTCCTGTATTCCCCCTTCCATTTTCATATCACGTGTTTTATCACCCTTCCCACCCTTAAAGTCTCTTTTGTCTCATCTCACAGGCCCTGCTGTAATTTCCTGACCTCTGCCCACACTCACTCCCATATAAATATCCCCATATAAAAATCCATGTAAACACCCATATGTGAAATTAGAAGCTAAGATTCACAGCCCATCAAGTGTTCACTTGATATAATTTCTCATTTGGAAAGGCTCCTATGTCTGCCTTTCTTTTCTCATGTTTCTATGTGTGTGTGTGTCTGTCTGTCTGTCTGTTTGATCAGTTTGGGATTTGTCGTTTTTACTTTTTTTTCGAGACAGGGGTCTCATGCATCCCAGGCTGACAGTGGCACCTTGATCTTTGAATCCCTGGTGTTAGGCACGGTACGTGAGACATAGAAGGTAAAATCAATGCTTATGGACCAAGGGAAGGTGAGGGAGGAGAAAATGGGTTTTTAAACCTGTTTCTTCCTGTGAGAACACGGACAAACTGGCCCACCGTGCACTGCAGAAGTGCACAATGGTGCAAGTGCTTTGGAAAACACTTTGCACATATCCAAACAAGTTCAAACAAGGCAAACAAGACAGCTTAGAGATAGGGAAATGCTGAGCTGCTGCCCATGGGATGTTTCCAGTTAGAGGAGACGGATAAACTCTAGAGAGCTGCTGTACAACCTAATGCCTGTGGTTAGCAATATGGCATCCTACACTCAAAAAAAGTCTGTTAACAGAGTACATCTGTAGTACATATTTTTACCATAAAACAAAGCAAAGGAAAACAAAGGAACACAAGGAAACTGAGAGGTATTGAGTATGTCCATTACCTTGATGGTAATGATGAAACTGTGGATGTTTGCATGCGTGCAAGCAAACTCATCAGATTATAGACATTCATGTGTGCGGTTTTGAGTAGGTCAAGTACTTCTCAGTAGAACTGTTTTAAAATTGGTCAATGATAGGCTGGAGTGAAGGCTCAATAGTTAAGAGCACTTGCTGCTCTTTCAGAGGACAGAGTTTGGTTCCCAGCGCCCACACAATACCTGCCTGTAGCTCCGAGGATCTGACATGCTTGTCTGCCTTCTTCGGGCACCTGCGTGAACACACACACACACACACACACACACACACACACACACACACACACACCATGTACATATAAATAAAAACGGAATATTTTTTTGAGACGAGGTCTCACTATGCAACCCTGACAGAACTGGGATCCTTCATGCACACAAGGATGGATGGCCTCAAACTCACAGAGACCTGCCTGCCTCTGCCAATGGAGTTCTGGGACACAAAAATAAATCTCTTTTAGCTGTTTAATGAGACGAGTATGGTGGTAGATGTCTGTCATCCCAGCCCTCAGGATACTGAGACAGGAGTATCATGAGCATGGGGCCAGCCTGCGAAGCATACTGGGAGAGGTTCACAAAAAGCAACCAAAGAACAAATTCGATTAGCACAGTTTGGTGTTTCCAGCAGAGGGCAGTGTTTCCTTCCTTGGTAGCCAGACCAGTGTTCTGTTTGAGGTATATCTAGAGGTGACTGGAACCACGTAGCCAATTTAACACACCGCTGTCTCTGATACGAGTTTTTATTTTACTTTTTCAAGCCTGGGACTTGAAATTACAGCCTCTCCTGTGCTAAGCAAGCATTCTTCTGCGTGAACTACATCCCTAGCAACACCATGTCTGAACATAGAAAGAAATTCATGTATTTTTTTTTCTTGCCCCAACACAAAATCTCTAATTGCTTCCTCTTTTGCTTCATCTCCCACCTTGACCTGCCAAAGCACTGAAGGCCCTGAGGAGAAAACCAGCATCATGCCTCTCTCCTCGCTTCTGGTGGTAGCTGCCAACCCTTTCCGCTCCTTGGCTCGGCCCTGCATACATTTCTCCACCTCCATCCTCATGTGTCTGTTGTTTCTCCGTCTTCTCCTTTTCTGTCTCTTAAAAAGACACTGTCATTAGATTTACAGCCCACCCTAAATCCAAATAATCTCACTTGGCGTTTCCTCAGTATCAGGAACCAGGTCTCAGACGTATCTTGGGTTTGAGGGGGGAGTGATTCAGCCCAGTATGGTTATCTTCAGACTGAGCTCCTTGAGATTAAGATGTCTTGTCTGTTATTTGTTTACCCCCAAGTGCCTGGAGTAGTGTGTCTTAATAATAATGTCTTAAGCACAGACAGTGTGCAGTGGGTCTGCTGAGTCCATGGGTAGGTGGACTAGTGGCTGTAAGGACAAAGGATATAGCCAGAATTGGAAAGTGTGCATTAAGGACTCCTGGAACTTGTAGAAAATTGATCGTCATTCCAAGTAGGACTCAAAAACTACAGTGCACAGCTCTCAGTAAAAAGCGGTGCATGGGCCAGGGGCAACGCTGCACACCTGTACTTCAGCACTGGGGAGGCTGGGGCAGGAAGTGGGCCAAGAGACTAGACTAAACCACATAGTGAAATCCTATCCCAGAGCAGTGTGGGTGGGGGGGACACAGGACACTCCATGGCTTCGCAGCCACGTAGCTTAAATGAAAAAAAAAAAAAAGTCTCACAAATCCTTGCAAATACATCCCAGATGAAGCTTCTCTGGCCTTCAGAGAGTTAGGTAAACTTGGCGGAAACCCCAACTGTCACAATGAGGATCCCCAGCCCTCTCTCCAATTTCTACAAATTACTAACTCTACTTCGTGATCCTAATTTGTCATCTTCCATGTGTTCTTGATTTCTTCCCTTGCCAAAAATCAGGCCAGTTCCCGGTTGTTGCCCAAGATTCCCTCAGCCCTCTTCGCAGTGCGAGCACACGGTGTTGAGCATTTTGCTCAAGCTCTAGGATTCACACAGTAGACCTCCATTATGCCCACAGCCTGCTCCCTCCATGTTCTTCTCGTCTGACTCTCCCTTTCGTCTCCCTCTCGGGTGTAAAGCACGAATTCCTGTCCATCTCCCCTCCGGCTCTCCCTCCGAACAGGCTTGTTAAAACACAAGGAGCGGGAGGGGAGGGAGGAGGGAGAAGGGAGGAGGGGAGAGAGGGAGGAAAGAGAAAGGAGCCAAGGAAATAAGTGAAGGGGAAAGGGGGAGAAAGAGGGGGGAAGGCAGGAGGCGAGAGGAGAGGGAGAGGCTGAAGAGGAATTAGAAGGAAGAAGACAGGAAGAAGAGAGGAGGGGAGAAGGAATTAGGAACTTCTAGGAGTGTTCGAGGAGGAACGCTCACCCTGGCTCATCAAAAGACTGTTTTTATTTTCCTGTGTTTCATTAAGAATAGGCTAAATTTTGAAAGTCTCTGGGTAGGAAGTGGACTTCAGCAACCCCTGGGCCACTTGCTGTAGACTTCCCTTAGCTTTCTTACCAGCGTGAAGCAAGTCACTTCTAGTTTACATTTAATTCGAATCGCAACCGTAGCGATGATGATTTACCTACCCTCCCCCACCCCCCACCCCGCTGCCGCCGCCGCCGCCGCCGCCGCCGCCTTTTGCATTGTCTTTTTCTTGGCGTGCTCTCCTTGGCTCTGTTTGCCTGCTGTACACTGTGTACGAACCACAGAGATGCCTGTGCTGTTTAACTGTGCCTTTTGTTTGTTCCCACAATCAGCTCCAAAACAGCTGTTGAATGTTCGTCCTTGGATCTGGCGTCTTCTTTCAGAGACCTGGAACAGCAGCATCTTCTGCTTTTCATTTTCTTGAAGAAAGAGGAGATTTAAAAAAAAAAAAAAAAGAAAGAAAGAGAAAAAAAAACAGGCCAGGCGCTGTGTGTAGATGCTGGTTAATGACTTACTTCCTCCCTTTTCCTTAATCAGCAAAGTTCATACTCGAGCGGCCTGCGGGGTTCCCCTTAATAAGCTTCTGGCCTACGCTGAGCTGAGTGAAACAGTGGTGCAAACAGCTGGCTTCAAGAGCCACTGAGGGGTCCAGGTGAGACAGCCAGAGGCAGGCCGGTGAGGGGGCTGACATTTGACACAGTTGTGAGGAAAGCGAGGACAATTGTCACAGTCCTGTGATGCCCCCAGCTCCAGTACACCCCATCTGTTGAAAAATCAGACATTTACGTGTTGATCAAGTGGGTCGTTTTGGTATGAATTGCATGGTGAGTTTTGCTTTAAGGAACTTAAGAAAACTTGGCATTGAGTGATGGACACATTTAATACCTTGTGGTATGAAAAAGCACTCAAGAAAATCAAGACAAAGTGTGCCTTTTCTGGACGCAAGGTATTGCTTAGTGTAGAATCATTGCTTCAAGGCTAATGGCTAATCAAAACAGCCGTTATTAAATGTCACTAGCTATGTTTCAATTGCTTTTTGACCACTGGTTTTTGAACCGCAGCTCTCCACAGGGCTAATCTAAAAGAGAGCTTTGGAGGAGGGGGCGGACTGGTAACAGGAATCCATGCTTTGTTGCTCTATCCCACCAGTGAAGGCTGGAAGGGTTTACAGGACCAGAGCCTGGTGCAGCCAGGACCAGAGCCATTGCTTTATGCAATCACAGTCACAGACAAGCCCTGCGACCAACATGCGATGTGGGGGGCATGAACAGTCCCAGGGGCACCCTGCTGTAAGTCAGCTCATTGCTCTAACTGCCTTTGAAGTAAAAGTTGAGCCCCTTCTGTTGGAGGGACTTAGCCCATGACAAAACATCTTTGGCAAGCTTCATGCTCACTTCTGTACAGTAAGTCTCTCTCCTCCCCTCCTCCCCTCGCCTCCCTTCCCTTCCCCTCCCCTCCTCTCCCCTCCCTTCTCTTCTC